TGAGGCATCTCACGGAAGAGCAGCCGTAAACAGACCGCTTTCTACAACAGGTAGAAAGATGTAGTAGTAGAAAATGAGACAAAATAATAATATGTATTATATCATCTGTTCTATTTTATTATTATCACTCAATCATATGAAAATACCGGTCGCAGAATCGAAAATGGGCAGCTTAATGTTTGAGTGTCTCGATTTCAATGTCACCTGGTTGGCTGTTTTGCCATCTTCAGCCCAAGGCTCCTTTTAAGCTTGTTGATGTTACGACCACACTAAACCGATTGCAGATACAAGAATGTTTCTATTTAAACCTCCTCCGTCTTCCTACCGGATTTCGTGGTGGTTTTATGTCTTCTCCTCTTTGAGCCGGCATCGTGCCACTGGTGAGAACTGGCTGCTTTGGGTAAATGATGCTGAGAGCTCTATGTGGTACTTCATGGATTAGAAATCTCAAATTGAAAGGCAAGGCGCGCCTTAAATCCTGGTGATGTGGCTTGGCGGCTGATTGACTCATTGACCCAGGAGACTGATGGGCGTGTTTCATACCCATTTCGTCTGCCCCCATGTCTCCCAAGCTCCTTCCTGCACTGCCTGCCACCTTCCGTTGTCAGCTCATATTCAAGAAGCTTCCCTCTCCTCATCTCCCGCGACTTTCCTTCAATTCTCTCGTGATAAACACTGCCCGTCGTGACCAAGAACGTCTTATTCTCGCCCAACATGCCTCTCAGAGATCTTCTCCCTCTCTTGGTCATCCTCGCGCCCCCTCTCATCCTCTACGGTCTTTACGGCTACTGTATCCGGTCGAGGTTGAGACAGAGGAGTGAGGTTGCTCAAGCGGACGGCCAGTTTCGCCTGAGGGACCCGGGGCCACCAATTATGCGATACTTTACCTTTTATCGAAACCTGGGCATGATCTTCGAGTCAAGACGAGACTATGTCCCGGTGCAAGACGACCAGCAGTCGTCTGTGCGACTGGAGCCACAGCCTCAACCCCCACAGCAGCGCGACGAGAGGTCATACTCATCGCATCCCTCATCGCAGAGGACCGAAGATCCGGGCGCCGTTGTTTGATGCGATTCGACCCGGGTCCAGCCCCGCCACGGCCACATTCCAGCCAGACGGCGAAGGCATGAGTATTTCAATGATCTCCGCCTTGCGCAATGGAATGCGCCCGGCGCGGACCCCAAAGCACTTCTCCACTGGCCCCAGAACTCTGTTCGAGTTTTCAAGTGAGAGCTAGGATGTAACATGCCCCGCCTGGTTGCCCCGGCCTCGCGATATGGGCAGACAGGGTGTTCTGCACCACTGCATCACCACCCTTCTTCCCCGAGCCCAGACAAGCAGACTTGTTGGTCTTGGTATTGCGAGAAGGACCGTTTCGAGGAGCGCATGCGCCATTTAAAACTCCATATGCTCCAAGGCAATTGGCAATTGTGGATTATTTCGTGATGGCCGGCAGCAATTTGCCGAACGATCTTCTGCTAGTCATCCCATCCTGGAGAACTACCCAGTTTTCCTGCATGGGCAGACGGTCAGCCGTTTGCTGAGCTCGTTTCGTACGGTGCTATCAGCCAAGTCGAGTCAAGATACGTCCCACGTTGCACTCTGTGCCGGGATGGAGGGTCGAGATGCATGCCATATTACCATCTGCCCATCTCTGTCGTCAGCGTGAAATCTCTGGCATTGAAGCTACCGTAGTATATAGCAACCGCCCCTCCCACCTTTACGTTAAGCTTTTGTTTCAGTACTACCTTGTTGCGCGGATTGATTGATCAGTGAGCCCTCCTTTCATTCTGTCACATTTGTAGAACGTGAATTGAGATCAATCAACCATGCCGCCCCCCCAAGATTCCTCCGCCGTGTCCCATCCGGAGGCTGATTTGAAGGATGCCCCAATCAAGGCGGCCGAGGCCCCGATCGACCCCGAGGAGCCGGTCAAGGTAGATGACGGACACCGTCATGTCATACTCCCGGCACTAACGTCGGGCGATTCGCCCACCACCACCAAGTACGAGATCTGGTCCTGGTACTGCTACTACATCGGCGCCAATGGCCTGGCCCTCTTCAACTTTGGCCCGACCGCCTTCCAGAATCTTCTGTCCCAGGCCGCGCCGGAAGACACGGGGCTGCTGATGTTTGCGGGCCATGAACGAAATGTTAACAGTATCGTCCTCGTGGCAAACGGCATCTCCTTTGCTCTGCAGGCTGTTCTGTTCCTCTTCATCGGTGCTTACGCTGATTTTGGTACGGGCCGTCGATGGGTTCTGATTGTTTGGTCCGTTCTCGCCTATGCTATTGGCTTCGCTTGGCTCGGTGTTCACGACCCTGAGAAGTGGAAGGTCGGTGCTGGTCTGTACATTGTCGGCCTCATCTGCTACCAGCTCACTTTGACTTACTGGACGGCTGCCTTCCCTACCCTTGCGCGCAACACCGAAACGCTCAAAGAGGCAGCGCGACAGTATGAGGAAGGGATCATCAGTCAACAGGAACTGGACCACCGGGATGAGATGGAGCGGAGCAGGTTGAGCAATGTGGCCTTCTATGTCCAGTCCGTCAGCGAGATTGTCATTCTCGCCATTATCGTCGGCATCATGTTCGGCGTCAATGTCGATGCCAGCACCGCCAACAACAATTGGGGTCTCTCGGTTCTCGTCGCATTCGCCACGGCCGTCTGGGTTGTCGCCTCGCTGCCGTGGTTCTTCATGGAGAAGACGAGGCCAGGTATGATGGTGCCTGTTGGACTCAACATGTTCACCGTTGGCTTCTGGCAGATCTACGAGGCCATGGCCCAAATGTGGCGGTTGAAGCAGAGCATGATCTTCCTCGCTGGGTACTTCCTGTTGGGTGATTCTCTCAATACAACCGTCACCGCAATTGCCACGCTGCAAAACGAGGTGGTTAGCTTTAACACATTGACGCTGACCTACCTGCTCATTGTTGGCATCGCCACGCAGGCGATTGGTATCGGCGGGTTCTGGTGGATCCAGAAGAGATTCAACCTCACGGCCAAAACCATGTTCAACGTGGTCATGATAGGCATCATCCTCCTCGACGGCTGGGGCATGATCGGGAACTGGACCGACCGATTTGGCTTCCACAACGAGTGGGAGTTCTGGCTGTACCAGGCGTTTTACGGGATCCTCGTCTGCCCATGGTACAGCTACTCGCAGATCATGATCAGCTCCGTCACGCCCCGCGGCCATGAGTTCTTCTTCTTCTCCATCTTCAACATCATCGGCAAGGCCTCGAGTTTCATCGGCCCCTTCATCAGCAGCGCCATCATCGACGCGTCGCCCGGGGGCACCAACAATAGCGCGCCGTTCTACTTCCTCTTCGCCCTGAGCGTGGTAAGTACGGCAGGAATCTGGACATTCCTCGACTTGGAGAAGAGCGCGAGGGAGCAAGAGGTGTTTTTGGCGCAGGAGAAGGCTCGAATTTGCGGCGAGTCGACCGACGACGATGCGAATGTGTGATGAATTTATGTGGAAATATGCGATCGCGAGATGGAATTGTTTTCCTAGGGGATTTTTTTTTGTCTTCACCGGTTCCTTCCTGCTATGGCCTCTTTTCTTTTCTACTCTGCTCTAGTAACACCAATCGGTCTTTTCCCTGGCGACTCTCCTTCCGGACGAGCCTTGCGGAATGCCTTCCACTTGTCGATGAATGCTGGTACCGCATACCCTGAGAAACCCAGTCCTTGGCTCATAAGTTATACACAAGGCTCAGCCAATCGCTCCATGCTCTCGAGAATGTCCTTCGCGAGAGAATGGAGCGATTGGCTAAGCCTTGTGTATAACTTGATATACTAGAGTAACCGCTGGCTGCGTTGACTTCCTAACATGACATGTCAACTAACCAATTACATTAAGGTAAGAATTCTGCAAAGTCTTTGAAGACAATGACAGATCGAAAAAAATGGAAATAATCACTGTTATTTTGTGTGTTGTCTTCTCTTCTGTTTGCCTACTGTCCAGTCGTTTCATGCTTGAATGGGATACCAGGATGCACTGTCGATATGACCTTTTATTGAGTTTTTTGAGAGAAGTGTACAGACGCGAGATAATCTGCTGGGTACGAAGATAATGTATTTGGGCCGCATCAGTAGCAGCAACAACGACAAGCAGATTTGAGGGAGTTGGGCCGAAGAATCACCCAGGTAGGTTACAAACTTGCGGTTCTGATCAGGCTGTCTACAAGGCTGGTCGGAAGAGATATCGGTTCTCCTGATCGCTAACTACATATAGATATCAAACATGTTTTCACCAATCGAGAAAGCTTAAACATCATAAACTGGGAGGAGCGGATTGGCATTGCACGCGACCGTCCGCGAACCGTCATCCCGAAGGCGGTACACCATGACGACACGCCAGTGCTCAGCCAACGCGGTGCGGGTGATACCTTATATACAACTTCCCCGGGCATCTCCTTCAACAATAGCCCCTGTGGCGCAGTGGTCAGCGCGCTCCCGCCTTCTCCGTGATGTACTCACACTGAAGATAGGACCGGGTGTCCGCGGTAAGCTCCCCCTCCCCCAAGTAAGGCAAAAGAACGAGTACATCACGGGTGCCGCGGGAGAGGTCCTCGGTTCGACTCCGAGCAGAAGCATTATTTTTTTCCTTTTCCTTTTTATCTTTTTATCTTTTTGCTCCCCAAGCCGTCGGCTTTCAAAGAGCCCGGGTGCAAACAGCGACCAGCATATTCTTCCTTCCTACATTTTTACTAGTATTATAAGAGAAATCAAGGTGATCGAGCTACATATTCAAAAGCAAGCCATTACCTCTTCTTTCCCGGATATCCTTATGATCAGTGAGTGAACATATCACTGGCTGTGAAATTTTCCTTGTAAGCCCCATCGTGGTTTCGCAATACTCAATGCCAACCTAGAAGAGACGTTGTCGATCTGCTTTATCAACTTCTCGTACTCTTGAGGTGTGAGTATGAAGCAATCATCAAAAAAGGATCTCAGCTACTTCGATAAGCAGGTGTTTGAAAATTGTGTGCCTTTAGTGAATGTAGATGTCGCTCAAAGGCGTTTCTTGGATCTCGTTCATAAGTTGCGCATCCATGGTCGTGCCTTCGAGCCCATCAACATAGGCCCAATCAACCATATAATAGTGATTAGGTCCACCTGAGGGATCAAGGCGTGTGCGAACTGCAATGGGACGTCGAAATTCAGATGTGATCACTATTGTGTCACCCTCTTGCAGCCTCTCCGAACAGGTTCCGAATAGCCCCGTGTCCGTCCAAAAAAAGGCTTTGTTGGCAAAAACCTTCGCTGCAAATGTGAGAATGTGAAGCTTCTTGCTCTGCTCTGCGGTGAACGGAATATCGTCAAGCTTCCTGATGCTCTTGTATTGTGCGATAGTGCTGCAAATGGAAAGTATCAGTCGGAGATCCTTTCGACTTTGCCCAAGGGGGATCCATGTCCATAATGCGTTGAATATCCGTTCAGGATCATGTTTCTTCCTTCTCATTCTAATTTTCGAGCCTGCGAGGGAGTGTAGATCTTCTCCATCGGAATACATGAGTCCAGCAATGCGTCGTACAATTTCCTCAGGGTCGGTACCTAATCTAATGAGAGGTGGACGACATTTTCCAATGAAACAAGCTCCTAAAGTTAAGATAAGGAAATCTTCAGAGATTCGCAACGTGGTCGATTCAAGTCCTTGGTCCATGATAAACGGAAAACCTGTCGCAGTGATGTCTGGAAGCCATGAAGGGAATGACGCATCTTCCACACCAGAAGCACGGATTGGCCAATAGTTCATGAAGACCTGTGTACGAAAGGGGCTAGATTGATGAAATTTCGAAAGCGTTTCCAAAAGAACCTTATCCGGAGACTTGCTGTAGTCTGGTGCACAAATTTCAGGGACCAGTTCCTGGATAAACGGGTGAAGCGCAAAGATCTTATCCCGAGGTTCGAGGCATTTCCGATGAATAGTCATGATAAATAATTTCGACAAGTCAAATTTGAACGGTCTTGCCCACATATGCCCCATGTAAACCAGGTTGGGGGTCAGATCAAAATCCCTTATGACCTGTGCGAATCTTGCCTGACAAAGATGCAGTAATTCTTGGGCCTCAGGTTCAATTCCTCGTGCTCTCAATAGCCGCCCCCTCGCCTTGCTTGCCATCTTGAAGTGTCTGTCGTGCAGACTCTTCCAAGTTTGGGTGGAAATGTGATCGATCTGGAATGACTTCTTTCCCAAAGCCAATATTGGCCTGCGACTTGGCAGGAGAAACTCCTGAAAAGTCCACATCCTGCTGAAATATGGATGGGAGGCGAATTCAAACAAACCCAAGAATGTTTCCAGGCTCAATATGTCCTTTTCTCTCACACCTTTCTGTGGGCTCCAAGATCGCAATGTCATCCTTATCCAGCGCCTGGAGCTGAGCAATGGCCATTTGCGAGAATACGCTTGTGACCAGTCTAAAAACTGCTCCAAGTGCGGGTTTGAATGCCCCAAGTAAGCAACAACTCCGGATGCCTTTCGGTAGATATCTCCCATTAGAGGGATCTGATGGTTTTTTTCAGTAAGGTCCACCTGGTTGATGCAAATCGCATCCACCCACATCGTTCTTCTCTTTGACGGGGATCGTAAATCGCGGAGCGCTGACTCGAGATTGACGGTAACAGGGTGGTAAGACCCGTCTACTGTGACATCTTTCTTGATTGAATCGTCCCCCCAAACGTACGATAAAGCCTCGAATTGCGGATGGCTATTGAGAGACACCACACTAAGGGAGCAGCATATCTCCTCGTCGCCGTCCCCAGGGGCAATGTCAAGGAGTCTTATCTCGGCATTGCCCACACCTAGTGTAGAATATTGTAGTGCTGTCATATTGAAAAGTTGATTCTCGGTTTGAATGAGTGCTTGGCTCGAACAAGGATTCGTCTTCACCAGCAGAGCTTGGCCGGAGCTTGTTTGGCTACCCTCCTGTAATATTTATGAGGGAGTGAGGCAGAATTAAATAATATGCTACTTAGGCAGAAATGCATGAATGCTACGTCAATGCGGCAGAAACGTAAAAATGATGACCCGTTGTCAGCCCGCTGATCAGCCCTCCAGAACAGCCACCGCGACTTACAACATCGCGCGTGAGGCTTTCTAGACACAGCCCTAATTTTTCAACATATGGACTTCCCAAAATTTCAGCCCAAGGCAATGCTAATATTTAATGATATTGCAAACGAGCTCTCGCATCGATGAGCTGGGCCGCAAAGCAGTCACCTCGGAGTCGATTCATGCACGACAAGGGCTTAACCAAGATGTAAAAGACATAACCCGAAACTCATTTCTACATAAAAGTCTAAAAGCCGAGGTCGGTTTGTTGACTGTGTCTGCTTACGCATATGTCAATTAGAGAATTTGGTTGAGGACCGCCCGTAGAGAGTGCTCTGATCAATTACAAACAACCTGCTATCCTCTCTTCCTTGAATCGCGCGAGATATTACGATTTAATGAGCAAAAAAAGGCCATCGTGACAATAATTACCAGTCCCCTCTCCCTAGTGGAATTCCTTACAATTAAGGCTCCCCTTCGGCAAGCTGACTTCCTGTTCTTCTCCATCCCAGTATTCCACATAGTTTTCTGACTTTGATAGTGTAAACCACCAAGCAACTTCCTAAGAAAGAGTCAGTATAAGGGAAAGAAGATGGTACGTAGCGAAGATGAGCCAAGAGAATCTCGGTACCTACCAAGTAAGGAACATCCCAAAGGAATTTCGAAGCCGAGTTCTCGACTTGATCAAGCGTGATGTTTACGACATTTTTACATCTCGAGCCGGATTCGTCGTACTCTGAAAAGACAAAAGTAAGTCCCTTGAATGGCCTGTCGCCATAAACGTAAATAGTCGAGATCAGCTCGGGTCTGGATGCATCCCAGCTCCCGAGAACATCCGTCCTGCCATCGTGACGGTGGATCAAGAGACCGGAGTAAATGCCCTGGTGCTTTTGCACTCTTAGCTCTTTCACATTATCGCGGTTGGCTTTAGTCAAGATCGCGCCGTTTCTTTCAAGCGTGAGAGACGAGCTGTTTCGCGGTCTCGGCGCCTTGATACTCCAAGGGTCCGGAGTCTCTTGAGGGTTTTGTAGATTGTGCTGCTCTTCTTTGGTCGTGCCGGTTCTAACACCGAGGTTGGTGAAGCACTCATCCGGATAAAAGCCTTTCACGAGGAAGATCCCAGTTGGAAAGTGAGAGGCTTCGTCGCCGATGTCTACCAAGGAACATCCGGCATCCGTAAGCAACCGATTGGGAGCCGCATAAAACGTACGGCCCTCAGAGGTTCTCACCTAATTACTGTTAGGCATCCGGACCAAGTTTTCTTCAGGATGAGATGGGAATAGCTTCTTACCAGGATATAAAAGCCTCGGGTGAGGTTCCGGGAGAGGTAGTTACTTGCGCGCCAAATTCGTATTTTGGCGAGCACTTGCAGCGACTTTACCGTCTCTCCAGGATAAAGGTAAAAGGTCAGCGGCCTATTGAATCCCTCGGAGGGCTTGCCGAGTCTCTGCCCCGGGTCGCTGCCGACCTGGATACAGTATGTGCCTTCCGAGGAGAAGAAGATGGTTAGGCTCCGCTGCTGCTGGCCAGCTGGTTGGAAAGGCAGGTATTGCCCGATACACGCATCCTGGTGGACACGAATGATGGCTTGTATCGGATGTAAGGTGACAAGCACATGTTTATCACAAGGAGTGAAGTCGACGTCATGGGTCCAAAAGATCTTGTGCCCTTCCGAACTCGTACCTGACTCTGATGTCTGGCTGCCACTCGCAGTGTCGCTGTCTAATGACAGATATTTCAGTCCCTAAACGTTCGAGTTAATTCACAAGACAGGGAAGCTTCGAAGGGAGGCTCTGTTGGCTCCTTACATCTGTTAGAATACGAAGATCCCTCAGTGAGCGGAGGCTGAATACCCTGAATAATCTGCCGGGGGAGCGACCCAGCCAAGCTGAACTTGAGCCATCCTCGTACAGGACCCGCAAACCAACAACACCATGGAGACCAAGAGCATACCGGATGCCTGAGATTGGAACTTGTTTAATCGTTATCTCCATCTCGTAGGAGGTAGGAAAGTCCCCACCGATTCTTGTGAAGCAGCTCTCGCCAAGAATGTTCACCGTATCTGCAACCAGACGTTTGAAGGAGAAGGAGGGCATGAGCGGGTAGTGATATGTCGGGGTCGCAATCTGCCGGGAATCTGTGAGGATCCGGTGGTCTTCTATCCAATGCAATGTCTCTAGGCAGCTGGCAACCGAGAAGAACAAGGTGCCGCTAAGATGCCGGCATATCAGCCTCTGAAGCTCCCCGGGCAGGTGGCCGTGGATATTCGCAAGCAGCAAACCCAGGCTCGAATCCTTGGACGCGATCTCAGATTCGGGAAATTTGGTCAGGTCAGGTTTGACACCCAAGATCTCCGCTGTCACATTGGGCGGAGTGATGGGACGTAGCAGCCGGGCGATGCGGGCTAGGAGATCGGTCGAAAAGTCGCTCCATCTTCGTTTGGCAAGCTGCAAGCAGTAGATGTGGATCATGTTGACTGTGGCCGCCTCTTCGCCGCAAAACAGGCAGTGAAGGTCAGTGCAAGGCTCATACACGGTCCCCTCCCGAGACTGCAAGTTGCGGATTTTGAGCCCGCGACGTTGGTTTATCTGAGCCTCACATAACTTCGATTGCGTTCGATCGTTACTGGACGACACACTAAGGACTATCCATACCGAGTGGTTAGAATATCATGAAGGGGATATCGGCATAGGGGGATTGCAGATGGATATCATAACTTACTACAGATGACATTCGTTTCCCATTTTGTGGGACGGTAAATGGGACCGAGATCTGCGTCCAAGTCAATGTGCAGGGTATCACCACAGAGGATGCAATGATTCTCCAACTGGGCATGCTTCGTCTCGACGTATTCATCATCGGAATCGAGCGGAGTTGGCGCGCGTGGTGGCTGGACACGGGCTGGATTATCAGGCACCAAACTTGAAGGCGGGGGATTCTCGATGAAATTGGTGATGAAAAGGTCGCGGGCTCCTGGCCTCATCCCGGGGTGTGGCGGATCAGCCATAATGTGAATGCCTACGATATTCCGACGCCAGTCTTGATGGTAGAATGATGAAGCTGAATGAATGCAAAGAAGCCCGGAGAGGGTGAGGATGGAGAGGGGAAGCCAGCCCTCAGCCTGATACAAAGACAGCGATGGCCATTATTAGGTAGGTACGCCTGATTTCTGATTCGTCGTGCTCATGATTTCTGAGACAGCCCCCGCAGGTTGCGCATTATCGAGGCGGCCGGCTTACCGTGACTCAAGTTCGCGACCCGGTAAGTACATAAGCATTTGCCTTGCCCTGGGACTTTGGTTCGGCTGAGCATCATCCCCCGCAAACGTGGCCATCAGTGAGCACAGTTGACTCATGGAGTGTGCATGCAATCACTACGTTAGTAGCAGGCAGCTCTGAAACACGGACAGCGTGGAAATGGGGCAGGAATCGCGGGTAAGAGCACGGTGCGACACTCGATGCTGAGACCAACAAGTATCATACCCGGCCACAAGATGCCTGTGATCCAGCTAAACGGGTCACGTCTAGAGGACGACTGCGCTTAACATCAACAGTAGTGATAGGAAGCTGGTCAAGCCTAATAAATGTAGGAAATATTTGCCGGACGGCTAGATTAATTTCAGTGTATCTTCTGCAACTCGTCGAGGTATAATTTCTTTGAAAAAAGGAAGAAGAAGATTGCACTGACAAGGTCCATCGGGAGGTCAGGTACGAATTGAAGTCAACAGACCATTGCCATATACAATTTTTCCTCTTCTTCTCAGTATTGCCCTCCTATATTATGGCCGAGCCTGGCGCTTACAAATCTTCCGCTGCGACGACCATGTTGACCGAGTGGTGTTGAGGATCTACGCCGGCCAACTTGGCCGATGATGATCCACTCACGAGATTTTGGCTGGCTGGGTGGACTGTGCATCATATGAAGTGCCAAATAACACTGGTGCCGGTTGGATAGAACTCAAGCTATACATCGGGCAACTTGGTCAGTGGAATGATGATTATCAATGTGCAAATGCGTAATGTAGAAACCATCCAAGTATATAAGACGGTGAGCCCAGACTCGAAGGGCAGGATATCTACAGCACAACCAAGCACAAGAAAAAACATTCAGACCAATACTATACACGAGAAATAACTCGACTTCTTTGATTTAAACACAGGAGAGATACTCTGCCATCCCTAATACCACACTTTTATCCCTTATTCATCCACCATGAGTTCTGCTCCAAGCCAAATCGCCTTCATCACCGGAGCCAACCAGGGCATCGGGCTGGCCACAGCCAAGAGCCTGGCCCGCGATCACGGCTACCATGTGATTATCGGCTCCCGAAACCTCGAGGCTGGTGAGAAGGCCGCAGCGGATATCCGCGCTGCTGGTCACAAGGCCTCTGCGGTCCAGCTCGATCTGAACAATCCCCAGTCCATCCAGAACGCTGTCGCGACAATCAAAAAGGACTTTGGCTACCTGGACGTCCTGATCAACAATGCGGGCATCTTGATCGACACCAAGCCCGAGCAATTCAAGGATACGTGGGATCTTTTCAGCAAGACCCTGGAAACCAATGTCACCGGCCCCGCCGTCCTCACCGAGGCTTTGGTCCCCTTGCTGAAGGAGGCCAAGGCAAAGCCTGCCCGTCTGGTGTTCCTCTCGACCACCATGGCGAGCATCACCATGTCTCTGGATAAGACGACCCCTTGGTACCCTATTGATTACACGGCCTACGATGTCAGCAAGGCTGCAGTGAACATGCTCATGTCCAACTTTGACCGCAAGCTACAGGGCACAGGGATCAAGGTCAACGCCATCTGCCCTGGGCTTGTGTCGACCAACCTGACGCAGCACAAGTTTGGCACGACCGTGGAGGAGGGAGCCATCCAGTCTGTGAAGATGGCCACGCTGGGTGAGGATGGTCCAACGGGGACCTTCACCCGCGCGGACCAAGCTCTTCCCTGGTAGGGGTTTATTTGGTTCAAAGATAAGATCGGGATTTATGTAGACCACGTTCATATACTCTTCAGAATATAGATACAAGTATGAATTGAAACGTTGATTGATTTCAATATTAATTGCTTCACATATGAAAGCCTCCCAGTGACTACAGCGGAGTTTAGGGAGATACTACAGGGGACAACCCGCCAGCTTACTGGACAAATGTACCTGTACATTAGAAGCGGGCCAAATTGACCGTGTTGTAATGTAACTCTACTCTGCGGAGTTTGTCAGCAGCGACATTTGACGATCAATTCGCTACAGCGCCTTCCCTCACTGGCATCACTGGACTTAATCAACTCACCTCATCCATCGCCATCTACGACCTCATGAGACCAAACGATGCCGGCTTCATGGGGCCGCCGACTCCTTCCCCGAGACAATGCCCCATCTGCGACAAGGAGTTCGGTCTAGGTAGGCCAATAATTCTCTTGTAGTGCAAAAATACGGCCTGACTAACCATTACCAAGAAACCGCCTACAAGCGCCATGTGTCATATTGTCGGCGTGCCCAGGCCAAGCGCAAGGGCCGGCCGGTCTCGTGCGCTGCTTGTAGCTCTTCCAAAATAAAATGCACCTTTGCGAAGCCCAGATGCGCGCGATGCGAGTCTAGGGGCATTGAGTGCGTTTATAATGAGGCGGCGCGCAAGATTGCCACTGGCCCTGCCCAGCAGCAGCTCACGACAGCTCTACCTGCCGACGAGGAGGATCTTCAAGTCGTTCGCCAGAGCCAGACGTTTGCACCAGACCCAGCTAACAGCTTAGTCGTGGCCTCGGGATTCGCCTCGGAAAGTTCGGATATAACTATTCTTGATATCAACAGCAGTGCTCTAGATTTTGTGGACGTCGATCTGGAACTGGCAGACCTCCAGCTCGACCTTCATAAGCCCGAGGTGGGCGAATGGTTCAACGTTGCCATGTCAGGCAACAATAGTCCAACTATCCAGCACGCCCTGTCTGGTCCTCAAAACCAGCTCGGGCCTCTGCGATACAGCTTGCATCAAGTGTGCAACACCGTCGAACTCGCGTTCGACATCATGTCCTGTTTTCCGCAGATGATGCTCCGCAACCAGACGCTTCCACCGTTCATGCACATCCCGTCATACAGCGCGTGTATGCCTGAAAGAATCTCCACATGCCGAGGGATTGCACAGGTTTTTGAGACTCGGACCGACGAGACTGCCTCCTTCCTCTGGCGTACCGTTGATGCCGAAGTTACCCGTATCGAGTCTGAGGTACAATTTCCCAGCCCGCCCTTCTACCATCAACACTTGTCCATTAACTCATTTCCAAATAGATGGGTAGGATGGACATATATTCAGTGCAGCATGCTATACAGTCTGTTCTCATCTATTCAATAATGCTCAAAATAGACTACGAGCCAGCGATGGTCAGTCGTGGATTACGTCTGGTTCAGGCATATTGGGTACGCAGTTTCCTCCATCAGCAGAGGCCTCAAGCTCGAACTAATTTTCTTTACAGAATCTCACCGTGCGATATCTTGATCTCACCGGGGAACTCGAATTTTTCTCCACGGAGAAGACGAATCCAAGCCCGACTTGGGAGGACTGGATTGTTGCTGAGACCCGACGCAGGTAAGAAAGAACCTAGGTTTCTGAACGATCCAATCCCTCACACAATGGCTAACCTGCAAATATAGAATCATTGCCTTTTGGTTCATCATGCGCCAGGTCATGGCCTCGCGACTACAAGTGGGATGCGGTATTCACGAACACTTTGACTACTTGCCCCTAATCTCGCCCAAGTCCTTGTGGGAAGCGCGAACACGGGAGGAATGGGAAATTGAGAGGACGTTTCATACCAAAGGTAATCCGATCTCGACATATGGTGAGCTAGCCAGGGCCAAGCTGGCGCCAGACAATCCTGCCAACCGACAACGCCTCAGATATTGGGAAGCCGGCACTGACAAACTCGGCACACTCGTCAATCTGTCCATCACACTACTGTAAACACAGCAAAAGGTTCTCTATTTTCTATTTGATCTATCTATAATTAGGTATCAGATTCTATCATTCAGGCTGCCCACCATAGTCGGCTCATATACTGGTATTCTCAAAGGCGCCGGAGGGTTCTTCTGCACGAGGTTCGACATCGCCCACCTCAACCAACCGCCATACGTCCCCGGGCCGCAGTCACTCCCATCGTTCGCCCTCCAATGCATGCCCAACGTGGGCGCACCGAACAACTTCGCGGAGAAGCCATGCGCCAGTTTCAAACACCAGCTCTGCGCGATGCTCTTCTCCACAATCTCCCTCACGAGCTTCTGGTCGGCCGTCTCCTCCTCCCCGCTCCTCGGCATCTTCAGCGCAAACAGCTCAAACTGCCGCTTGCTGTCCCAGTCCGTCAGGTTCTCGTTTACATAGGCCATCTCCAGCATGCTGTACAGCCAGCACTTGTCGCGGACGTATTCAGGCCCGTCCCATCCATCACCCTCGTCGAGCCAGCGCTGCGCAGAGCCCATCGCCTGGATCTGGATGGCGTAATCCGTCATGCTCTCGTCATTGATGTCCATGCTACCCTTTCCTTCCGAAACGGACGGCGGCACCCCCATAAGCGGCACATGCGACACGAGCGGGTGGCTGTGCGCCCCTACGGTGCTCGTCTTGCCCTCCCACAGCTGAATCAGGATCTTGTGCGCGCGGAGGACCAGCGGACAGTCGGCGATGGACATGAGGGCGAAGTTGACGATGGAGATGTGCTCGGGGGGCTCTCCCATCGTGTACCCCGCGAACTCGTAGGGTGAGTCCGGGTTGGCGAGGTGCTCCTCCCACAGCCAGTTGAGGTCGCCGAACTGGAGGATGCCCACGTCCAGGTAGACACCGCCATAGTTGATGAGCAGAGGGTACCGGACGAGATCGGACGTGTGCTGAGAGGCGTACCCACCACCAAGAGTGCCGTCGATGAGGGCCTGTGGGACCACGGAGGGCGAGGTGGCGTCAATGTACCGGGAGAAATGGAGGGGGGAGCCGGCAACGCCATCGAGGACGTAGATGTTCCATCCCAGAGGCGCGAACCGCTTGTACCAAGATAGGACATTCCTCTTCAGGTACGGAGGCAGCGTGGCGATGCCCGAGTGCCAGAACGCGAAGATGTGCTTGCCGCCCTTCTTGGGGAACGGCGGGGACGCGAGCGCGGGGATTGAGGCCAGGGCGTCGTCGGTGACATCGTACTGAGGGCCCGGCTGAGGTATCAGCTCGGTGCCGGGGATTATCGGGTAGTCCATTATGCTGGATGTCGAGTGTGATTCAAATTGATGGTATTCGATGCTTTTTTTCCCCAATGGCTGATTGGTCGCGGCTCAGGGTGTTAATAAAGCCAATTGAGGTCTCAATAATCACAATGAGTCATGTGGGTCCTCATGATCACTGACAAGTGGGTGACAGGAGAAATGAGACACCTAATTGAAGAGTTAGTGATAAACAGACTACTTTCTACAATCAATAGAGAAATTCAGTAGTTTAAAATGAAATGAAGTGGTAATATCCGCTATATTGTCTCTGTGGTATATATTATTAATACTCAATAACCTGATAATACCAATCGCAGACTTGAAAATAAGCAGCTTATTGTTTGAGTGTCTCAATTTCAATGTCACCCACTTGACTGAGACCAGTTTGTGGGCTTATCATGCAGGTTGATGATGCCGATTACATATTTTCTCACGAAGATGCATTGTTACTCATTCATAATCATCAGCACTCAGGGAATATAAGCCACAATATCATCTTAGTGAGATCTGTGGGTACGGTGCACACTCCTCGGACGTTTAAAGCGAAAGTAGGTAAAACGAGGATAGATTAATCATTATCATTATTTTTATCTAATTACGCGGGTTGCTTGTGCTATGCTCGTCTTGGTGCCGATGCTGTACAATAACAAAAAGGAAAAGGAGTCGCCATGTGTGTCATCAGTCATAAGGTAAGGAAGGTGTAGGTGTTGCTTTGCAGCTGGAATTGGCTATTTAGCCAGCTTGCCCCCAGCTTGGGGCATTTTTGCGTCTCTTGAATTGGAACTTGGTCTCCCCTGACGGGAACATGAACTCGAGGATCCATCGGCCGGGCGGTCGCTGGTTCTGGTGCTCGTCGGCCAGCTTGACGTCGTAGTTGAGGACGAGATACGCGAGGAGCATCTTCATTTGGTAATCCATCAGGTAGCGACCGGGGCAGGAGTTTTTGCCACGGCCAAAGGCCAGGAGCTTTGCTGTCGAGAGGAAGCTGTTGGGATCTCCTTCTCCCCCTACCTCGCGAGCCGGCCTGTCGTTCTCCTTTGACGTCTCTTCCTCGCGCAGGCGGTTGAAGCGGAAAGGGTCCAGATGCAGTGGGTTGACGTATTGGTCCGGATCGGTGTGCATGGGTTGGGCGACGAAGGAAATGATTGTGCCTTTAGGGAGTGGAACGCCGGCATCTGTGACCACTCCATCGACCATCACCTTTCGGGCCAGGGCTCTCGTCGGAACCGAGTTGAGACGCAATGTTTCCTTCATCAGGCTGTCGGCATGGACTAATCTGTTGGTGTTCTCCCGGCGCCATAGTTTCCTAGGGTCAGGCTCCGTAGCCAGAAACTGGGCCGCTTCTTCTCTGAGAACGGCTACTGTATCGTATTGAGGGTCGGAAGCTAACAAATTCGAAAATAAGTTGGTGGTGGTGAAACTTGCAAGATAAATAAAGGCGAGGTTGGACATGCACACGCGCCGGGTCATCTGCTCGACGGCCAGCTCTTCTGGGCGGTGTTTTCGTGCGTGTCGCAACATCTTCTGGACGAGATCCAGCTTTTGGTCGGGATTGTCGCTTGAGATATCCTCGAGACGGCTCTTGAATTCCATGTCATAGAATTTCTTTGCAAGGTGATCGATTTTACGGTGGGTAGGCCAGCAGATAATGGGGCCAAGAAAGGAACGGATGGGTGCTGGGAAGAAGCCCGTGGCACCCGCATTGATGACGATACTGTCAACAGTATTCTTGATAGTGTGGAGATATGATTCATCACGGCCTTGTAAGAGTTAGCAAATTCATCTCCCACGGTCATCATCATGAGGGTCTTGACATACAAAAAGGCATTCCCAAAGTAAAGCGGGTGCCCGTCTGTGCAATAATCATTCTCACGGTTTGGAGCAGGTTCAGCGTCTTCCAGTTCTCGGTGTCATGACCCAGATATGTGTCGATAGCAACCTTGACCTCTTCATGGATGTCCATGAGATGGTCATCCATCTCGTGCGTGAGGGCATGTCTTGACAGAAGATGAGGCCAGGTGTCAGTCATGTATTTCTCATCACCGAGACTATGCACCAGCTGAAAGTGCTCGTTGAAGGCCTCCCACATGCCTAGGACACGGAGAGGCTGGGACAGCGCCCATGGCAACGAGCTGTGAGGGAGGAAGACCTCATTGCGCAGGCCAAGCGTTGGTACTGCAACTGTCTTTCCCTTCTTTGAGAACTGGAGACGATCAAATTAGTGGGGATTCAACGGGGCCGATGCGCGCGGGATGGTAAAGTTATCCGACATACTTTGTGCCAAATTTCACTGTAAAGCGACGAGCAGTTCAAATGAAAAGCGATACGGGTCCAGATGCTGAAATGCTGAGCGTCGGGCTTCTCGCGGATGAGCGGAATATGGATAGGAAACGGTCTAGGCTGGAGATGTCGGTAGAGAATGGCGGCGAAGGCGGATACAAGAAGGAGAAGGCCAAAACGATGGGCATGCAATGCGTCTGCAACCTGAGCCAGAAACATCGTGGCGGAGGTCGGATGAGATCATAGTCGGATCCAAAGAGCCAGGGTGTCGACGCAGGCTTGAGGCTACTCGTCCAGTGCCATTTGGAGCCGGGGAAATGATCGACAAACGGCGGCGTTGGAGCGGGCTGCGATGGCTGCACGCGTATGCAGATGGGAAAAAGTCGCAGGAGTCGATGGATATTATGGTGAATGGGTGAGTGCCCCAGGTGACGAAATTAGCGACGAGGACAAGCTTGAATGATCGCCTCTCAGGTTTCTGGCCTAGCTCGAGACCCCGAAGGGGCCGAAGAAATAAAATGAGGGCGAGAAGGTCGTGGTATTTAGCCTTTGCCGGGCTAGTTCCTCATCCCATCCATCCACATCCACCTTCACCTGGACTATTAACAAATTGGCCTGAGGTGCGGCCCGATCGAGAAGAAGGCCCTGGTCGCTCGTCAAAAAATCCCATCCGCCAGGTCTCGAGAGCGCGGTGACGGGCCAATAACGTGGGAGCGTGGGGACACCATTCCTTGCACCAGACGAGGCTTACATGCGATAATGGGTGCTAATTTGCAACGGGGGTTGCCGTGGGTGTGCCCTGCTTCTCGAATCTGAGTCAGTGCGCGGACACACACTCGGATTGAACTTTTGTGTTTGACAGCACCGTCTCACCTCAACGTCGGCCGCCACAGGACAAAAAGAGTTTTGAAACACTCATGTCCCTGGGACCAGATCAAAGACCCCTTGCCCGTGGACCTGATCTCCCGCGTATGCCGTGCCCGTCGTCGGCGGGCTTGATCTGGCCGAGTCCGAATGCCAGCTGCAAAGAAGCCAGGCAGGCCACTAGTCTGCGATCGATAGAGCTAGATTCCTTCAGGCCAGTGATCTTCCATTCTCAGAAGCGCCCAGACCAGAAAGGAGGAACTTGTCCGGTGGCGGTTGGGACGTTTTGGGCCAAAATTCCTGTTCTGTTCGGGCTGAGGTTCAGGTTCAGGTTAAGCGTCTGGATGGCGCGATGTCCGTTCTCACCCCCAACCCACTCGCTCTTTCCCTGCGGCTGTCGCACCAGCCAGCTCATCACGTGCAGCACATCAAACATTAGCAGCAAAGGAAGGAGCAGCAGCATCGGTTTTCGAGAATCTCCGTGCCCCATCTTAGTTTCCGATCACAGCTGGGCAGGTATTGTCGGATCCTGTGGGAGCTCGAGAGCAGGGATGGGCAGAGTAATAAAGGGGTCGAGATAACGAACCCACCACAAGCTTCAGCCCTCGTCAGCCGGACGAAGCAAAGGACATTACGCCACCACCAGTTTCGTGTGCCTCGGTTGGCGCTTGGATCACTCCTTGGCAGCCCGCCCACCATTTGCGTCGACCTTCAAACGGCGCAATTCCGTCGTCGTCCTCGACATTCTTGATGTCCCGGAGTGCTGGAACTCTCCGAACGGAGCATTCCATTGTGGGGAGTGAGGGGTGCCTGTTTCATCCAGTGGAGAGTGCCGGATATTATGGATGACACTGCCAACTCTGGTTTAGCGACAACCCAGTGGCTTGGGAGCTTGCTCTGCTCGTGAACCAACAGACTGGAGTCTATTTTCATCCTGCACGTGCGATCGTTCCAAGGCAGCTTCTCCCGTTTCCATCCCGGGAACTAATAAGGCACTGATCAACAACAACACCTCAAAGTCACAGTTTAATACTGGCGATCCTCCAAGATGTGCATTTCCCTTTAGCGGGACTTGGTAACAGCATCAGAGGCTACTACATACAGCAACTCGTAACCTTCCCCATTCTTAAAGCCCATACACTCAACATGAGTAATCCGACCGGCGACATCAGAAGTTTCATCAACACCGGTACATGCCGCGTCTTATGAATGGCAAACGTGTTCGACAAGTGACAAAACGTCTAACATTCGCCTGGGTAAAAAATTCATCTCACCGCTTATTCAGTGTGATTGTTTTGGCAACAGCATCTTACAATTGGTAGCACTGGGCAATGGGGACATGGCTGAAAGAAAAACCCACAACCGCAAGAAAACGGCCTCGCAAATCCACAAGTCCTCATTGGATTGGCTGGTCTCCGCGATCAAGTTTATTAATCACTTATCCATACCTCAAGTCATTGTGTTGTGGATATTGGGCGACAACGCAGGTCGCATTTCCAATATTAGGTCACAACACAATGGATCCACCTCCAGTTGTCCTTCCCAGCTCCAGCATTGATCAGAGGAGGCAATTTGTGGCCACATCCCAGTGAGTAATGCGCCGCACGTAGAGGCAGTTTTCCTTCGTGTGATGCTCCATATTTGCTTGCCAAGAGCGCTCTATCTGGGTGATAAAGTATCGGGGGCTGGTCTTCCATTCGTTGTTTGGTAACATTATTCATCCTCAACGTCGTTGATGCCAATACCTCCACCCTCGGATTCGGAACAGGTTATTTAAAGGGCCATCCCATTGAAGATTGTCTATCCAAGGTCTCATTGCACCTAAAACTTGACAATTAAAGCTATCCGAAGCATTCAGCGGGAATGGCCCATCCCAATGTGTGTCGACCTTCGATGGTCTTCACATCATGTCACCTCCCCGGCACAGTCAATTCCGCAATGGTATGCCCTCGAATCAGCATATTATGCAGTCATGCACCTCCTACCATATCCGACCAGCTCCTAGTCAAGGGTATTCTCAATTGGAAGAGCGAATATGCGGGCATTATCAACATGGCAAAGTGCGTCAGGTCGAAGTATCACGAGGCCAAAGAATTGAACCGCTGCAACGGGAAACCCGGTCAAAGGGCCGCTCTAACCGCTCATATAACCCCGCGGTCGGCCCTCGGGGTCCTCGATTCTCAAAAGTGGAAGGGATCTCGTTTGCTCTTCTCTCATTCAACCCGTCAATCAGCCACCCCCGAATGAACATGACCGCGATCGGCTCCGGGGCCGGGTCCACGTGGGGCTTCTCATTGGCCTGCAAACTAAGCCAGAGCACCACCACGGCTCCAGAGAATGCTTAAACTGGGGAGTTCTCGAATGCTCATTCGACGAGGGCAGGTCCCTGATGAACATGAGGTATGCCGTTTGAGTTTGGGCTCTCTCCGCCTCCACGAATCAGCGGGCCCACGTGTAGAGGGGTTTGGGTTATCACGGTATTTGCAATTGCATGATCTAGAGACGCGAATTCCAAAATGGCAGCAGCAGACGCCGGTCGCGTCCTTATGGGCCACCATCTGCCGTGTCAAAGAGCCGTGGTTGGGCAGTTGATGAGGGGCTTATCAACAACCTTTCGTATACCAGGATGCATGGTGGAGCACTTGGGCATCACGGAGGGGCAGGTTGGATGTGACAGCAGCATATACATAAACGAGTCCTACCCTTATATTAATCCCTCGTGAGCAGGTCGTGAGGTGAGGCCTTTTTCTATTTGAAAGGTAACTAGAAGATCTTGGTTGGCAAAACACTACCTCTTACTCGTTGAAAGAAAGGCAGCCATGGACAAGGTCACTCTCCTCACAGTCTCGCGCGTGGACCGTCAGGTCGCCGCGATGGCTCCCGTCTCCACCATCTTAAGCCAGGCAGCTCCAGCATTCATCCTCGACGAGCGGTTCCAGAAAGCAATCAGCGCTTTAACGGTTACGCTCTACTTCCAAACCCGGTTCCTCGCAGCCACGACATTGTACGCAAGCCGAATCTTGGCTGTCCAGGCCTATTTTGCAACCACCCTTGGTGCAACGATGTCGAGGAAGCTCCTCGCTGGTATCTGGGACTCTGCAGCGGTGCAGCGCCTACGCAAAAGGATGTTTGAGGACTTTGCCAAGTGGGTTCTGGGAAGCGGAAATACCATCTTTTGTGCCCTGTTCTGGCCAGGCTGGTGGGTCATTGGCTGCGCAGTGTTGGCTATGGCCCAGTTTGGCGGCTGAAGGCGGTCCAGGATGTCCAGGATTATCAAATCAGTGACATCACAGGACACAGGATATCGATCGCCACGACGGCTGGACGCTGCATTGGCTGCATTGGCCTTGTACTCCTCAGTTTGAGAGCCACATGTTGCATGCGGAATCACCGTGAGAAAAAGAGCGTGTTGCCACCAGCATCACGCCGGACCTCAGACGTATAGTCCTTCTCTGGGTCGAAGTCCTGCCACGTACTGGCTGGGTATATGTGCTTATTGCGCTCGTACCATCGGCGGTCGACGACTTTGGTCAGCGTGGGATCATCATTCGCTCCCTCAAGTGTGTTGATATCGACAAGCCTCTTGGCAGCTGCCGCCTTGACCTCAGCCGCGGTCATGAGACCAGCGTCGACAGCTTCCTCCCGCGGTACATTTTTCGGTGCTTCGGCGCTGTAGTTGAATATCCGGTGGCCGCCAGGGCCAAGACTTTTGTTGACGAGGAAGTAGTAGAAGTCATAGTGCTAGAAAACGTTAGTCAGACATATAGACACACCGGGTAGAAAAAGAAGCTAGACAAGATAGAAGAGATGGAGTAGTTAGACTTACATGAGGAAGAATGACAGTTCCACGAACCAGGATCAGATCATCCACACCCACTCGTGCCCATGTCCTCGTCGCATTTGCCTTCTCGCCCACCCCGAGCTCGGCACCGACCTTGCGGCTCTTGTCGAGGAAGAACCAGACAAAATCGCCCTTCTTCACCCGGACGGTTCCTCCAGGGATGTTGGCCCCGTCGTAGAAAATGAACGGAATCGCAATCTCCGTAGCCTTGACGGCGTCGCGCTGCGCAATGAACTCCTGCCGCAGCGCCTCCCGCTCCGCCGCCTCCTTCCGCAGCGCCGACTTGGTCACCGCCTTGGGCACCACGCCAACAGAGGCATTGGCCTTGAACTTGCTCTTCTCCTTCTTCTTCTCGCCCTCTTCGCTCCCGCCACCCTCTTCTTCTCCCTCCTCGTCATCCCCAAAGGACAGGAGCTTCTTCTTGCCCTGCTTCTTCTTCATCGCCTTCTTCCTCGGCGGCGCGCGCGGCTGCTGGTCGTCGCCGCCCTCCCCGTCTGGCGCATCGGCCCCCGACACGTCCGGCGTGCTGTTGCGCGTGGACACGGTCCCCGAGCGCAGGGCGGAGGCCTCGCGCGACTCGCGCTCCTGCTGCTCGAGGACCTCGGCGCGACGTTTGCGGAAGTCGGAGAGCTTGACGAGGCCGACCGTGTTGCTAGAGAGGCGCTCGTTGGTGGTCTTGTTCTGCACGGTCTGGGAGGTGAAGCGGGAGGGGTTGGAGGGTCGGTCGGACATTGTGTCGCGGGGGGGTTGTGGACGTGCGCGGGCGAGGAGGAGGGGGGGAGAGAGGTTGATTTCTTGCCCGTTGGCTATGAGGACGGGAATGCTGAGAGCGAGGCGAGGCTTGTTTGTGTTGTTGAACCTTTGGCGGATGGGAGAATTATAGTGGGGCCTTGGTGAGCTCGTTGGAGTTATCGATAAGTTCTTATCGATATGTCCCACAGTTTCAAGTTGGGAACCCCAATGCGGTAACCGCCGCCGCTTATCCCACATGCATGGGTGACAATAAATATAGCAATGCGAGCGGCCATGACCGTGGTATTCTTTATTTGGCCTTAATAACTACAATATATGTCAATGAATAGTCTGTGAAGTGGTATGTTTTCTTAATTTTATGTTGCTTGTTGTTTTAGTTTTTGTCAGAAGCTAATGTTGGTGGAATGGTGTGCGATATTTTATCTAAAGCACCTGTTTGTATGTCAATGATATGAAACTGCGCTCTGGGTCAAAAGCATTTACTTGAAGGTTGCATGTCATGAAAATAGACACAAATTCTTGGTATTACTAATCCTTTGCATCCCTCTAACTTTTAAAGACCTTTTTACCGGATCTAGTTTCCAGATTCACCATGTTTGCTCAGCTGCAGCCGGGAGCCCAGTGTGGCATAGGGTAGCAGGGATGAGACGTTTGCACCGAGAGACCCATCTTCCTACCTACATTAATGAACCTCATAAAGAGAGACTCATGTTTGTGTGTGGTTCGTGCTCCTTTGATACCCTGATAATAAAATTTATGCTTGCCAATCGCCAAGACTCGTGATACTGTGCACTATCAAGCCTCACGGCAGCCCCGACCCAGCTCTCGTAGCTTGTCCCACCAGTGAGTTGGTCGTGTTGTCCGCATATCTCTTGTACGCGGCAAGGTATCGCTCATCGTCACTCCACGTCTCCTTGACGCTGGGCCTTTCTGTCACAGCTTTGAACCAGGCCCTCCACCTCCCCCAGACTTCATCGTCGCCGTCGTGGCCCTCCTGAGGAATCCCCACCCCGCCATTCTTGTAGTGGTCAATCAGCCACAGTCGCTTCGCCCACGGCGCCAACGCAATGTCCACCAGACTGAACGTCTCACCCAAGAAGAACGGCCCGCTGCTTGACATCTCCTTTACCAATGTTCGGATGTGCCCCAGAAACTCCCTGCGCGTCTCCTCAATGCTCAGGGCGCTCTTCCCCTCGGTATGCTGCAGCAGTTTGTAGAACCCGGGTATGACCCTCGTGGATACATGGTCAATCCACAGTCTTGCCCGCGCCCGCTCATACGCACTCCCGGGCAGAAGCCGCTTCCCGTGCACCGCCTCGTCCGCGTACCTCTCATCCAGGTACTCGCAAACAACGCTGCTCTCGTACAGCACGGCCCTTGGCGGGTCCGGCAGCCCCAGCGTCGGGACGAGCCCCCGCGGGTTCAGGGCCAGGAACTCGGGCTCCTTCTTGTACGGGTTGATCTCGACGTACTGGTGCTCGATATGCTTCTCCACGAGGGCGATCCAGGCGCGCTGGACAAAGGGGCAGAACCAGCCGCCGTACAGCTTGAGGGGGTGCTCGGCGCTGTGGCGGGCTGCGAGCCCGGCTGCTGCGCCGGTGGTCTCCGGGGGTATTGAGGTGTCGACGTTGGCCATGGTGTTTGTTGTGATACCTTATTTCAATGGTGATGATGAGGCGAAGATCGGAGTGAGGGGAAGAGTAGGGAGGGAATGATGGTAAATGCAGTGGTTCCCCGCGCCAATCATGACGTGATGGTGGGTTGCCTCCAATATGGGATTTAAAAATGCCATTCTTATTACAGGTGCATTTTGGCTGTGGATGGACTCGAAAATGCGTATCTTTGACTGGAGATGGAATTATCTATGAATGGTGCCAAAAATCGCCGGTCGCTTCACCTTCACCCTCCGGCTATCTCTTCAAACATGACGAGTATTTGGTCGATGCGTTGGAGTTTGACAATCAGCACAAGCATTAGGTACTGTAGTATTTGATCATCTGCCGTGGTGCCACAAGAAGCAATGCACGGTTTCATCAGCAATTCTCAGTTGCCGCGGACCTGCCAGAGGCCAAACACAGTCGTGGCTGATATGGAGAATGTCTCCTCCTGGGAAATGGGCATTGGACGGGGGCTGGATGCGAGACTGTCTTGCATTCCGCATGGGCAAGCGTATTTGAAAAAAAAGCGAAAATTAATGGAATAATGTACGGTCACCTGCAGCCGACGGCTAGAAAGAGGTCTTATTGCACTCCCAGACGGACGCTTAGCAGCTGCGGTTGTGTAACTTGGCTTTTGCGTGTCCAGCCGGCAATAACTGCGATCCCTTCGGTTCCCGACACGATAGTTTGAAGTGGCGGCTGCGGGCTGATTAGGGTGTGATTGATTGCTGCGTGGCGTTGGTTGGCCTCCTGCAGCCTCTGCCGTTTGTTTGACGCACTTCTGTTGACCGCGATTTTGCTTTTTGTTGCTGCACATTCAGTTGATTTAGTAGCAAAACGAGCCCCTCACTTTCTCATCTTCACCGTTCTACTTCCATCTCAACTCCATCATCTACTCTGCACACTCCTGTCGTTAGTCTTTTGCACCAAGATATACGGCCTGTTGTAATTTCTTCCAAACTCTTATTACATACACTATTAAAATCTATCCGCCTTGCTATGGCGCCTGCCACTCCCTCGGGCTCCTCCTCCGTGGGGACCGGAATCCCCGAAGCTCATCTGGCTCTGTTACAGGACAATGTTGATGATAGCCTCATGAGCGACTTCGCCACAGCGCCCTTGTTCACAGAGAATGTTCGCCGAGCCGTCGACTATGAGTCACCTGGCTCTGACGACAAGCCACTCTTCACTCAGTACGGGCTGCTTGGCGGTGATGTTACCGGTGGTAACCTTGACCGCCTTGAGAGCGGAGACCTGGATCCTCGTGTGTTCTACAACACCGCGGCTCCCTCAAGTACTTTCATCTGTGGCAGCCAAGGTTCTGGAAAGAGCCACACCCTGTCTGTCCTGCTGGAGAATTCGCTGGCCAGATCTGTCGCCAATGTGCTGCCACGGCCCTTGACCGGCCTGCTCTTCCACAGAGATAGCTTCGTGTCCGAGACGGCCGGCGCACCATGCGAGGCCGCGTACCTGTCGTCCAACCGGGATATCAGCGTCCGGGTTCTGTGCGCACCATCTAATATTATGAATATCCGCGTATGAGCACCCCTCCCCGTACCCACGAGAGCCTGAACGATGAGACTGACACTTCAAACCTGCGCAGCGGATCTACAGCAGACTCCCAAACGTGACCGTGGAGGAGCTCCGTATCAACCAGTCCGACCTGAACACGAGCCGCATGCTCGGCCTTATGGCATTTCACACGGGGAAGGACGGCGGGATGCCTCTGTACTTGTATGTGGTGAACCGGATTCTCCGAGACTTGCGCATTGAGCAGCAGAGAAGCGGACTGGCGTTCAACTATGGCAAATTCAAGGCCACAATCGCCGAGGAAGCCATGATTGACAGTCAACTGCTTCCACTTCAACAAAGGCTGGAGACACTGGAAAGTTTCATGGTCAAGGACCAGGCGCCACAGTATAAACTTGGTATGAAGAAGCAACAGCCCCAGAAGCAAGCACAAAAGGGAAAAAAATCATCCATGAATGGGGAGGATGTTGCGAAAGGTAACATCTGGTTTCCCAAGGTATGAAAAGCCCACCTTCCCAATGAGTATTGGTCGTCGGCAACTCTGCTAATGAAACTTTTTTTTTGCGAAATAGTCGGGCCAGCTGACGATTGTCGACCTCTCCTGCCCATGCATCACGGCCGAGATTGCTTGCTCCCTCTTTGGAATCTGTCTCAGTTTGTTTCTTGAGCAATCGTCAGACATCGGCCGGATTGTCGCCCTGGACGAAGCACACAAGTTCATGAATGACAGCCTTGAATGCGCGTCCCTCACGGACGGACTCTTGCACACGATCCGCATGCAGCGGCACATGGCTGTCCGGGTCATCATTTCCACCCAGGAGCCGACCATTTCAACCAAGCTCCTAGATCTCTGCTCGATGACCATCGTCCATCGGTTCACGTCCCCAGAGTGGCTCCTTGCCCTCAAGAAGCATCTCGCAGGCGCATCGAAGCACACCAAGGTCGACCCGGACGGTCCTTTGGAAGCAACCGGCTCTAGCGACGTGGGTGTTCGCCCCCTGGTTTTGAAGGGCGACGATTACATGTCTGCTCTGTTTTCCCAAATCGTCTCACTTCGGACCGGCGAGGCTCTCGTCTTTGCACCCAGCGCCGTCATCGATGTTGAGCTCAACCCCTGCGACGAAGCAGTGAACGACGGGGTTGTTGATGGAAGCGGCCAGGAGGTGCTCGAACCTGCTGTCGATTCCGGAGCCAAGCTTTATGCAGAATCCGACATCGCCTCCAGCCCCAAGAGCAGTGTCGAAGGTGCTTTCTCTACGTCGGATGCGTATTCCAGCGACGGGTCTGAGTACTTTGCCAGTCCTAGGAAACTCGGAGATGGTGTTCTGAAGCTGCGTATCCGTATGCGGGTGACAGCCGACGGTGGAAGAAGCGTCATGGCTCAGTGAGGGGACGTGACGTTAAGCTTCTGCGGCTAGAGAAAAGGACCTTGCTAGCTGCTTGAAGGGCTTCCAAACGTACGGAACAGTAATGGTGGGAATGGTTATAAGCCATTCTGTAGCGGGTATCAATGCTGCTGAGCCTCACCTAACCGACGCTTGGAAGCACTTGGTTGTGTCTCATGATTTTGACTTGTGTTAACGAATAAGATGCCTGATTTGGTAGGATACCTTCGACGTGTCTAGAACAGCAGGTGATCTAGATTCGACCTGATAGATTTTATCTAGAGCTAGAGTAATTACTTAGTTTTCTTTAATATTACCTGTCCCATCTATTCTGCGTGAGATGCTATGATTTGTATAAGAGACTTGACCCAAACATAGGTAGAGCATCATTGTGGAATCTCTCCTCAACACCATAACCTCCCTTGGAGTTTCACATGACAGTACACACATGACAGTACATGGAAGAGGCCCAACAAAATATCGCCTTCGAGCACACCAATCCTAGACATTTGGTACTTTCGAAAAGAACCGGAATCTCTTTACCAACAACGGAGAGATAGGTAGAATACGGTGTGCCTCACACTGGCCTGGGACCCCTTCTAAGCCCCGCCATGCAGACTCGTCACCGCACAGGGTGATATGTCGGTAGCTGATGGAGAAATGAAAATGAATTATGAGAAAGGGAGGAGAATTGAACAAGGCAGTAAGCTCAGGGAGGGCGGTTTTAGAAAAACGGCAGCTGCCGCATCCAGCGACCCGTCCCCCAGGGCCGAAACTGTCACCGAGTGCGGCATCGAATCGGGTGCCGTCGGCATGCAGCCCGCGGAAGGCATTGGTGATATACCGGATATACGGAGAATATCAAAGACGCTGGTGTACTGTGGAGAGAAAAGATCCGATATGATGCGGATCAATGATGACACAGAGTGCGCTGGTTGTGGAAGGTAGGCGGAATACTGGCAGCGAAAATAATCTACCAGGCCCTCGTACAGTTGCTTACGCGCGGATGATAAATGGAACAGGGTACATGGTATCCCGCGCAGGGGCATGGCATCAGCGAGAGTTGAGGTTTGTTTACGAAGGCTGGCAATGAGGCGGCTTATATAAAGACTCAGACGGCGCTCAACTAAAGAGCTGAATTGTTACCCAGAAAGATCTCAGACCGACCTCCAGCATATAAATCAACTCCAACACACTAGTCAACTGCTTCAAAATGTTCTTCTCCAAAGCTATCGTTGCTGCTTTCGCCCTGGCCACCTCGGTCTCAGCCCTTCCCCAGGACGGTAGCCGGCCACTTGGCTGGATCTACGGATACTCCCAGTCTGGCTGCGCTGGAGACGTCCAGGCCACCTACGAAGTCCACTCCTTGGCCGACTGCTTCGGCTTCACCTCTGAGGGCCACACCTCCATCAAGTATGTCCGCAGCGCCTGGAAGGACGACGACCCAAAGCGTATGTATACCCTTTTAAACTTGCCATGGATGATGATGTGTCCTTCTTTAATGATGATTCTGGTGCTAACTTCCGTGCTTTATAGTTGTTGGTATCACCGACGGTGGCTGCATTGGAGCTGCTCACGCCAAGGTCAACTCTGCCTCTTGCGCCTCTGGAACTCAGCCCCTCAAGTCCGGCCGATTCGAGTAAACCTGCATCGTCTACTCATCGCCTTGGCTACTCACGCTGGATAACAATCTTAACTTGGATTGAAAAGTAGAGTCATTGGGGTTTGATTCGAGATTCTATATGAGCTTCTCTTCATGTACGGCTGTCTTCTTTACAACTCGCAGGATCCTGAAATTGTGGCTTGGTTGGCAAACTATGACAGATGTTATGTTTCCCCTAGAGTAGTAGAGTGAGGAAAAAAAAGGAGTGTGCCCAGATCTGTACCGGAATTTACCAGTTTGCTCTGCATAATTGACGATGGATTCCATGCTGAAAGACTCGGTAAACAGAGTGCAGTGTCCTCATTACCAATTGGTGTGCTCACACTCTCCTCTCAAAGGTCGAACCCATAGCACTGAGTTTAATGACCGAGAGCATTCACCGCGAGATGGTTCCTTTTTAGGTAAGTTGTCAAACCGGATGTTGGTGCTGAAGGCGCAAAATGAAGCCGTTTCTGTCGTGGAACTGCCGGCGCCTTTTGCAAATGCCCCGGCCGGCAGTTCCTCTTCTCGTAAATTAGCCAATGGAATCCAGTGTTTCTCCTTATTGTAACCCATTTCAGATTCTGGATACAATCACCTACTCCTTCGAGACATAAATCTCATCCATCGGCTGATGCTCAGCAGGGATCTGTTACGGAAGTGCCGGATCCTCATGCAGGGGCCGTGGCGGGCGGCCGACCTGCTCTTTCAAGGAATAATAAGCTTATTCGCCGGGCGGTGCTGGTTGAACTACTACGTCTCGAAGCACTGGCTCCTTGCTATTCATCCTGGTACCGCATGGTGGCGATAAATCGCAAAACATGCTCGATGGATACACGTGCCCGATGGACGACGAAGTGCTAGGTAATTTTTCTTGTTTGGAATTGCTTTGCAGTAATAATGCTCGCTATAGAAGTCTTGTTCTATTGAAAAAAGAAACAATATAAAAACTTAAGAATAGAATAACAAGTCCAAAGAAGCGAACACACAACAAAAACACCAAAAATGCCCCAATAAATCTCAGCTGGGTCATGAGGAGGAATTTCCTTGGTCGTCTCAGGGAGTTCAACGCTTTCTTCGGGAGGGCCAACCTGCTCTGCAAAGGTGTCGGAGCTCGTATCAAATCCCGACTCGGCCGAAGCGAATCTAGTGGTGAGATCCTCGTGGAGCGAATCGAGCCGCGTACCGAAGCCCGCCTCGAGCGAGTCGAGTCTCTTCTCGAACTTATCGGAGTTTGCTTCGATTTGATGGAACAATTTCATCAATTTTGGCACGAGCTGCCGAAGCTCTTCGAGTTCCACTTGTGTCATGGTTACTGTCCTTGTCGTTTTGATGGTGGGATGGCGGCTAATGAAAAAGATCGTGGCCGATCAAGATGATGGCACGGGGTTATTGCTACCCCCAATAACTGGCACTGGCACTTTCGGTGTGCTTTTGGTATCTTGTAGGTTTTCGCTGCTTGAGTGAGATGTTGGTGTGTTCTGTTGTTGATTGGGTTGATCGGGGCGAGACGCAGGCTCGGTCAGATGTTTGAGACTTGGTTTGTAAGGAGTGATGTGCGAACGAGATGTGGGATCCGGGGTGAAGTTGAGCTATGCGTTTTAGTTATTAAAAGGACCAGACCGGGGATGGCGAGTTCTTAAATAGGAGGAAAGCAGGATCAGGATTTTTAGGTTTATGAAGGGAGTCACGCTGATGAAGGAGTCATTATGCCTGGCACAAGCTATTGTTGGTATTGAACCTTATCTATGGCTGGATGTAAGCCTCATCCCTGAGCAAAAAGGCTGAACTTTGATGTATCAACTGTGTTGTGATGCTGGGTATGGCATTAGGCTGTCGATTTCTGTGTTCGGAGATCCCCCACGAGTGTCATCTGTGATGGACGCTGAAGGCTTTCATTGAGGGTGGTAAGGCGCGATATGTACAGTTTGGTATGATGACTTTTGTTATGGGTGTCGAAAACTAGACAGCAAAAGCACGCAGATTTAAACGAAAAACTTGTTGATCACCATTATTTTCGCTAGGTGTAAGAGTCACCCAAGGAATCACTTCAAGGTAAAGTACCATACTGACTACCCAGCTAGTAAGATAGTTCGTTCCAGAAAACCATTAATCTAGATACTCGGAAGTTCGAACTTTACGGGAAATGCAATTATTTGATCTCGCTTGGGATGACTCGAGGCAGGGAGATGCTTTGGGTTTGAACGACCAGTCAAGCCCCCTACATTTAAGTATCGAGTGATCTAATTACTAGGTAGGTAGGGTTTCTTCTTTTTTCATGCATAGAAAGCTACATACTGTCGCCATAGACTGACCAGTGACAGGTGGCCCCGGCACTAGATGGTTGGAATTAACTTTTCCGCGTGGCAAGAATCACAGCCACGATGGAGTCGAGCTTTGGAATTAGCCATCCACACTCGGTTTGTGTACCCTAATCACTTGATTTGCATTTGAATACCTTTATTAAAAACAAAGTAGAACACAAAATGATCTGAGGCGGGCAGCGAAAGAATTTGCCATCGCCCGAGTTTCCAAGGTGTCAGAAAAACAGAGACCGTGGGGGTATTCTCACGTCTTGACGTTCTGGAAATGACCACGATATTTACAAACAATAACAATAGATTTAAAGTTGAGAATGAATGTTAGGCAATATTAATTATTAGACATTAGAAAGTATTATAATCTACTGAGGATTACTAGTACCGCACCACAGTTATCCGCTATCTAGGTGGCCTTCAAATCCAGTATTTCAAAGGAGATCAAATCCTCCTCCAAACTGTCTCTCTTTTTCCGGGCTTTGTCCAGCGATTTTTTGACAAGGGGTTGCTTGAAATTTCCATCTGCCGTCTTGGGCAGGCTATCGTCTTGAAAGAAATCCAGGTCCTGGCATGACGCAAGATTTGTTAGTAGGTAATTGGGGGCATGTATCCTCTCAACTTGTGAAGACACTTACAATCAACCAGGCTGGGTCCACGGCCGTTACAGTCTGCAGGTATGGAGTGCCGCTGGAGACAAACTCGCTATACACCATCCATTCTTGGATCCCCTCGGAAAGTACACTCTCTGGGTGGATGCCGGCGGTGTGGCCTTCATGTACCGTCCTGTAGATGGTGCCAAACATATCTGGATGTTTGAGAGCGCACTGGTAGAAGAAACTCCGGGCGAGAGTCTTCCGGATATGAGTATCATACTCTGCATCCTCGAATCTGCAAACTTCTTTCGTAATGGCCAACTCATTCTGCAATGAAACGACCAATTGGTCTCTGATCCTGACGGCCTCGCTCAGGGCACGACGGTTGAGAAAAGCGTCGAAGCACCACTGGTTTATCGGTAGTCGGTTCTCGGTCTTTATAGCGGATTCGTAGGCGTGCAGAGCATTGAGTTGGCTAATGTGATCTGACAACGGACAGGCGAATCTCTGGTGGGCGATGTCGGCCGCGAATCGTGCTGGAGGAGGCCGCAGGAAGATGGGATGCTGCGTGCTGGAGATGGCCGCCAGGTCAATCATTTCCCGGAGGCAGCCGTTCTTCTGTCCTTCCATAAAGGCATTGAGCCATTTGGGGTGGACGGATAATCGTGCTGCGATGCGGCCTGTACGCGTAATCGTGCCTTTGTCGTCAATGTATCTCCTGTTCCGTGTCAGAGTCTATGGAATTGCAAGAAGAACAGAAGCAGATAGCCTCTGGGACAATTGGGTTCCTACATTGAGCGAAGATCTTGCAAACCTCGGAGATAGACTTCCGGGTGAGGTGGATCGACAAAATCGAACGTTCCGACAGAATCGAATCCCATTACCTTCAGGAGAAGGATTTGTGACGCGAGCTCGCCTTCCAAAATACCGGGAGGGGCAGAAGGAATGAAGCACGCACGGTGAGTTTGCTCTGTGTACAAGCGGAAGCAGATCCCGGGTTGGGTTCGCCCAGCACGACCTGCTCTCTGCTTGGCAGATGCCTTGGAGATGGGCGAGGTGAGTACGGTCGACATCCTGAGGCGCGGGTTGTAGACGGGACGGATTTCCAGACCCGAATCTGTTGCAACTTTGTCAATTCTCCCTCACTCAAGGAAACTCATCATGAATATGCTCACCGACGACATAAACGATTCCATCGATTGTGATGCTGGTCTCTGCCACATTTGTGGCAACAATGCATTTTCGATATTCCGAGTCTTCGAATATTTCCTCTTGTCTTGCTCGCGAGAGGGCAGAGTATAGAGGTAGAATCGTAAGATCTTCATACTCGTCACGAAGTATGGAACAAACCATCTCAATATCGCCCGAGGTAGGCAAGAATAGCAGGATATCCCCCTCGGCCATATTCTTGTGGATGTGCTTGACCACGGTGACTGCACAGTAGCAGTATCGAGGCGTCGAATGTGAGAGATAGTGGATTTGGACTGGATGGACTTTTCCAGATATTTCGAAAGTTGCGGCGGCAGGAAAGTAACTTTGGATCTTCTCTACATTGAGAGTAGCGGACATGATGACAACTTTCAGGCATGGCCGACGCGAAGTCGCCATTTTCAGCAAAGCCATCAGGAGATCCGTGCTCAAGGTTCTCTCGTGGGCTTCGTCGAGTATGACGCAGCTCTAGTGAATTCTGTTTAGTACGATTCGAAAAAGGACAGATGGGATGGAGAGGAGTGACAGAATAGAAAGGAAATGAGAGAGTCAAGGGCAGTGTTCTGCGGGAAACATACATATGCTGAAAAATCGCGGTCTTTCGAGGCTTCGCTCAGAAGGAGACCGTCAGTCATGTACTTTAATCGTGTCATTCTGCTCGTCTTCCTCTCGAAGCGGACGCTATATCCCACTTGATCCCCGAGTGGTACATCGAGCTCAGCGGCTGTGCGAGTAGCAACAGATGTTGTAGCAAGTCTGCGAGGCTGTGTGCATGCTACTTTTTTACCACTTTCCCATTCGTCGAAGAGGATGAATTGTGGGATTTGAGTGGTCTTTCCAGACCCGGTCTCACCAGACACCAAGATGACCTGTCCATGTTTGGTTTTGGAATCACTCTAGGGCGTTTGGAGGGCTCTGAGGAATACTGACCTGCGAGTCATGATAAATGTCCAAGAACTCCTGGCGTCTCAAGGAGACAGGAAGCTTTCGGCGCGACTTGAGGAGCTGAAAATATCTGGACGAATGAAGCTCGTGGGGACGCAGAGGATTGGCCCTCGAGTCCTCTAGACTCTCTGCCTGCTGTGCTGTTGTTTGATTCTGCTGAAGGTCGTTCATGTTGTCCGGCGGGCTGTTGACGGTTTTTGTGTTGGAAATGAAGTCAGGAATAGAGTATGACAATGGCACTGAAACTAAGGCTGTGATATGCGGTTTAAACTTAAGATGTGGTGGGTGAAGAAAAGGTGAGTTGTGTCTGAACACAGGAGAACTGAGGTGCACGTGGTGGAGAGGCAGCAGGCCAAAGGCGCGTTTGGTACAATAATATATTTAGCACCTCGTTCATCAGGCACAATAATCCATTTTGCACCGCGTTTATTCTGCACACTAATTTGACCATCAACATTTACTGGTCTTCTGTTGTGCCCAGTTTATTCCTGCCCATATCTCCTACGTGGTTGGTTTCTCTTTTGACGCCTTGTCACACTCTAAAGTTAGTGTTTTCTTCCTCATTGCTTCGCTAAATCATGATTCCTGGCCAATTATTTAATCTTTACTTATCTTCACTCCAGATACACAGTGCTTGCTCAAGCAGCCAACAATACTAGGGTGCCCTGTTTCACCGTCTCGTCACGTCCCCTTCCTGCGAGGTAGTTCAGCTCCAGAGCACTTTATCTCTTTCTCATCGGTCTAACCATCTCTCTAGAGTGATCGAAAACTTCCCAGTGACGATACTTTCAAGACAAAGTCGAATGATGGATATCTCGGCATCTGACAGAGACATATACCCCGTGAAGCCTGGAAAATATTCGGTCTCATGGAAGCCCAGAAGCAAAGACGACAAAAGATGGAGCCGCAACTACTTTGACCACTTAAATAAGATGCAACAAGACTATAAGAACAAGAGAGTTCTCCAGGCTCCACTGGTCCAAGACGACTTCGAGTCTTGGCTCCTTGCGGTACAAGTGCCTTCGCCTTCTCACAAAGGCATTGCTGATCAGAAGAAAATCGTATACGTGGAGAAAGAAGAGGAGGAGAAGATGCTGTCTCTTGCGAGGATTGATCTCGCTTCATTTGACACGTACAAAGATGATGACTGGAAGCTATGGCGACCTCCTCGAAGACCAACCGAGAACTTCACCGACAAAGATCTTCGGTGGATTCCTGAGCTTAGAGCGTCACACCTAGTATCCGAAAGTCTCAAGGAAACAGGGCTTCTTTTTCCAAAGGGCATTCAGATCTCGACCATTTGCGATGGCCTCGATTGGCACCCGGGGCAACTACTGGGAACTAACTCGACCGCCGAGGCTCCGATCTCCAAAACACCAGTATTCATGCTTCCCTCCGAGTCTGGGAAGAACCTCGCGTCGGCTACGTCGCGTGGGCATATCCACACATACGACCGGCCAAAGTTTGTGGGGGCGGGCTGGGGCGACTACGACCTCTTTTTTGAGTGGCAACTTCACGGTCGCGTATTGGATGTAAAGGAAATGACGGGGCAAGCTTGGAAGAAGAAGGATGGAAAATCAATCAGATTTGTTCCTGCTTCTGTCTTGGAGGATGGAGAAGAAATAACCATGTCTTCTTATTTCCCTCGCCACAACTTCAAGACGCCTCCACCCCTCTACTTGAAAGTAACAGGGAGGGACGAGGAATGGAAAGAGGAATGGTAAGATGAAGAAACATTCGCGAGGGACCTATCATTATATGTGCGAAGTATGTAAAGTGATGAGCTTGGCGTCGACCACACCAAGTATCCATATGATATCATCATTCGCAGATGCTCCTTGATGTAGAATCGTCACAAAGAGCTTTACTTCCTGTAATAGTTTTAGAGAGGTCTTACACCTAACGGAGTTTACGGGTTCTTATTCTCGATACGCTACCTGGAAAAGTATCGAGATCTTTTGATGATGACTATAAGATGCTCTACTTATGTATATGGATTAAAGCTCAGATTCACTGCCGCCTTGATTGCAAGTCCATTGATGTACTTACCAGGTAGGAAAGAAACATGCTCATATACGAGGGTGTGTATTGTTGAGTTGCTTCAAATATGCATGTTCCTTGAATGAATGATAACGGTAGATGAAAGGGCGCGGGTATAGGTCACCCGATGGCACCCCGAGCCATTTCGTATTTCGGTTCCATGTCAATGAACACTGAGCTCTGAAACCATAGTCCTGCGAAGGGCGCGAAGGGCGCAAGGGTCGCACGTTACATGCATAATGTATGCATGCTACATTTGGATGCAACGCCAGATTTACGGACATAGACAGTCCCCTATCTCTTGGCTGAGCAGAAGAAGTTGCAACCAGGAAAATAACCCATCGATGAAAACTGAAGCTTTTCCATCCTTTCCAGCCATCTCATGCACCTCCAGCACTGTTTTGGGAAACCTCCGGTGCAGTTCTACAAGCTGACTAATTTACAGAGCACGCAAGATGAAGCTACTGCACTGCAACCTCGCTCTCCACATCTAAAATGGCTCAAAAACTTTCCCGTTTTTTTCTCCATCCTGCTAATAATCAGGGCAGAGTTCTGACTACCAATTCTAAGACTCCCCAAGAGAATTGGCAAGCGAACGAACCCATGGATCCTCGGACGGTTGAAGAAACGGCGCCTCTGCTTGGGGCTGAGGTTATCACGACGGACCCCCGCACTATTATTGAGGAGCGCGAGTTTGCCAAGGGCGACCCCGAAAACCCTCTGGAATGGCCACTGAAATTCAAATGGCTGTTCATTAGCATCTTGTTCTTTATGGGCGCCACTGTGTAAGTGCCCAATTGCACTTTGCCCTGTCCGCGTGCATGCTCACACTACCTCCTCTCAATGACTTCGGGTCCATCAATTCACCTCGCTGATCACTCTCGTGCAGCACTTTTACCTGTATTTCCCCAGTCCCCATCGCGGGGAGGATAGTCCAGGACCTCTCCAACGGCGAGAAAAATAAGTACGCCAGCGTGCTGCTCGTCACCATCTGGGAGCTGGGCGAGGCAGCCGGCCCCCTCCTCATCGCCCCCTTCTCCGAGACGTTTGGCCGCTATCCCGTCCTCAATGTATGCAGCGTCTTCTTCACCGCCGCGGCTGTATTGGCTGCAACGGCACAGACCACGCCGCAGTTCATCCTCTCCCGAGTCTTGTCCGGCCTATTCGTCACGTCAAACGTCCTTGGACCAGCGATTGTCGGCGACATCTTCGAGCCCGACATGCGAGGATCGGCCATGAGCTTCGTGATGCTGGCGCCGAACATCGGCGGCGCGGTCGGACCTGCCATTGGAGGATACGTGGCCGATGCCTTGAGCTGGAGGTGGGTTGTTTGGATGAGCGTCCTGCTGTGCGCCACTTGCCAGGTTTTGGTCCTGCTCTGTTTTCGGGAAACCTACGCGCCGGCCATTCTCGCACGCAAGGTGCACCGACTGAGGAAACTGAGCGGCTCGCCGAGCCCCGAAGGCGCAGCCCAGAACAACTCCAAGTCTCGCGGCCCCGAGGCGGCTTTGGAGTCCATCGTCCGACCCTTCCTAATCTTCAAGAGCTCGATTGTCCTCGTTGCCGTCTCCCTCTTTGGGTCCCTCACATTTTCTCACTATTTTAACATGACCACAACCCTGCCGGATATTCTGGAAGATGTGTACGGCTTACAGTCATCGCAGACGGGGATGTCGATGTTGAGCTTTTGTGAGTGTGGTTTTCCTTCGATAGCATGCAGATTTACTAACAACCGCCGCAGCCATTGGATCTTTTGTCGGTCTATTCATCTGTAACAGGTCCGTGGACAGAATTTACGTCCATCTGACCAAAGCAAATGGCGGGGTCGGGCAGCCCGAGTACCGTCTGCCACTTATGATACTGGCTGCGGTCTTGGCCCCCTTCGGCCTCCTCCTCTATGGGTGGAGTGCCGAGTTCGGCCTGCCTCTATGGGTCTTTTTATTCTCCTTCTCCTCCATGGGGATGATACTCTTGATGGCCTTCCTCCCCTTGTCGGCATACGTCGTTGATGCCTTTGGGCCGTACGCCGCCTCAGCCATGACTGGACTCATCGTGCTCAGATGTCTCATGGGGTCGTTGTTGCCGTTGTCGACGACACCGTTGGTGGAAAACTATGGGTTTGGGAGGGCGTTCTCTGTCATATCGCTGGTCAGCGCGGCCATGGCGCCGATACCTGTCGTCATAATGATATACGGCCAAAAGCTGCGACAGCTCTCCAAGTACACAAGAAACGACCCAGCGGAATGATAGACATCATCTGACGGAGGGTGGGAAGGGTAAACAGAACGGTATCAGAATCGTCTTCAACCCCATTTCGCCACAGCAAGGCGTTAATCGGGGGCGGGGATGTTGGGCAGAGAGACATCATCGCGTGGTATTTACTCATGGCAGCGATTTTCCTGGGATCACGCAAGCGGGCGAGATAAAGCGTGGCACACAAAGACCACCGGATTGAATTTGGACATAGAATTCACAACAGTTAACCTAATAGTGAATAAATTATTCGCACGCAGCTTCACCCCTCGCGAAGTATGTGATACGGAATGTCCAACTTGAGTCAGAAGAGTCCGTACAAAGGGCATTGACTTGGCTCGAAAATCGTTCGGATCATTTACTGTCAACCCGTGAACTTGTCAGACGGCTCAGAATCGGACCTGGAAAGGCCTTTTTCCGTGAAGACGCGTCTTCTGGAACCACGGACGGCTATACAACTGCAGAAACTTGTCTTTATGAACTGTTCAGTCGACTTGATTGTGTGAAATCTCTAGCTCTCTCATTCCTGGCTGCGTACGAAAATAACTACGACCTTGAAAAGACCAACGGGTTTGTTGAAGCCATTCGCCATGGTTTCATCCAACCGATGTGCTCACGCGCGTCGTTGACATTCACCTCAAGGTGCCGGGGAGTGACTAGGATGGGCGAATACTAAGAGCGATCAGTGGTGATAGGCAGGCCGAGCTCAGCCGCCTGCACGGAGAGATCATGGACTCCTCTGGAGTTGTAGGCGGCAGAGATTACCTCCATAGCGCCTTCATAGAACCGGAAGACCGTGACAGCACTATTGAGGACCCGGATGGCGAGGAGGGAGAGTGGGACGACAAGGGGGGCTAATAACCAAGCATGTATTTGCTCTATCTATGAGGGTGTCCAGCCCTCTACCGTGGAGTACTTCCCATGACCATATGTAGTATAATGGATCCAATATCCTCGGCTCGCCTTGGTCCCTTGTCCAAGTTCTAAGATATTAGGTGTAGTCTCTTTCTGCGCGCTGGCTTCGAGAGCAGGCATCTCACGCCAAAACTCTGGCCCTGCAAATTGGGATTCCCGTTCTCTTATTCCATCGATCCCCTGACTCTGTATGTGATTTGACCTCGCCATTTCGAACCACAGGTGATCTTCAGCATAAGTGACAGTAACGCTTGCTGTAGCTGGTGCAGCCCTGAGAACCAGCGTATCTATACTCAGCGGCATGCTTTCCGCCATATCTTCCATGGTTCGGATCTGCATCCCATCACCTTGGCCCACGCCAATGGTCACATATTCTAGGCTCGTCAGACAGATATGAAGGTGGGTCAACGAGGAGAAAAGTGGCGGCACTTGGCGGGTTGGCTCTTTCTCAGGCTGGAGGCCTTCGAAGACTTTGACAATGTGCAACTGTCTCGGGTTCCAGACAAGTTCGAGTGAGGTGATGTTCGAGAGCACCGTGGGTGTAAGCACTTCGTGCAGGCCGCGAAGGAGAACTTCGGATGAAATCTGAATGGTGTTGGTCTTGTAAAGTACTTGCATTCCTTCCATATATCTTTTCGGGAGCATAAAATGTGAGCAAAATAACCAGACGAGAAGTTGATGGCTACAAGGGAAGCAAGAACCTACGCTTGACGGCAGCTCAACAGCCAGCCTAGAGCTCCGACCTGGCATTTCCCAGGCCACTCACCCGGCCAATGAGCACATTCACCTTCGCCTACCATACAGCCCTCTCTATAGCCATCCCTGGCGCAGCTCCCAGGATCGCTTCGAAGCCTGCCCAAGGAGAGTGGCTGCTCCTCTGGCCTGGAACGATGACAAACACAGCCGAGCCACCTCCAATCAACCTGGCTAAAGTCACGATCAATCGAACGCCTTCTTTGAAACTTTGCATGTCCTGTCTCTAGGCCGATCTGTGGCTTATCCAGGATTAGATGCGGCCGTACGAATGCAAGATCCATGTGCAGCGTGCGCTGGCCAAAGGCGTGCTCCAGAATACAGCGACGGATCTCGGCTGGGAAGCGACCAAAGAAACGATCGGCATCCGATGCCCCTGCGCTTGTCTTGTACACGCTAATGGGACCGGCTGATGCTGATCGGTGAACGAGCTTGGCAAAGGAGTCCTCGCGTTGTTTGTTGTAACGCTTGCAGGCTCGAGCTCTGCGATTGTCCCAGGACCACGGCAGGCAGCCCCAGACACGGGCGAGGGGCTTGCCGATGAAGAATACGATTTTGATAATTAACCATACCACACGGCTAAGCAGGACGAGAAGTAGGATCCGTATCCCACGATTGTCGTGGCGGGTAGCCCAGGCCTCGCTGATCGAGGGAATATCCCAGTCCTGCGACGGCACGTTTGGTCGTTAGATAAGAAAGTACCAACCACAGGGGGGTCATCACTTACCTCGTCCATTCTGGAATCTGTGGTTCACCTAGGGAT